CTCCAGGCCACACCCCCAGTCCCCACACCCTCTACTGAGCCTAGGCCCCTCTCACCTCCCCTGCCAGCTCCCTAGCTCCTTGCCAAATAACACCAAAAGGCCAAGTTCTAGTCCAGCCTATACTCCTGAATGTGACCTTGGGCTGGTGACAGTTCCTCAGACTCCAGCTTTGGTCTGCGTCGTTCCCACTAAGTCATTCTAGTTCTGTCTGGCCTCTTTCTCTACATAGGTGCTGTCCGGACACTCTCTTTCGGCACCCCCAGAGGAGGGCCAGGGCCCTGAGGGTGTCTGGGGACCTTGGGACCAGTGGGCCTCTTGCTCCCAGCCCTGTGGGGTGGGTGTGCAGCGCCGGAGCCGGACCTGTCAGCTCCCTACAGCTCACCTCCACCCGAGCCTGCCCCTGCCTCCCCGGCCCCCAAGACATCCAGAAGCCCTTCTCCCCCTCCCCCGGGCTCAGGGCCCCAGGCCCCAGACTCCCCGAGAAACCCTCCCCCTGTACAGGCCACAGTCTCGGGGAAGGGGTGGCCCACATCGGGGTCCTGCCTCGCAGCTCGGGAGAGAGGAGATGCAGGAGACCAGGAGGTGAGGCTTTGCGGAAGCAGCGACCTTGGGCAGGAGGCGGGACTGGTGTATGATGGAACGGGCACACAGTTGGCTTTGGCGGGCTTGTTTCGGTGCCAGGAGGTAGTCTGGGGAGACAGGGTCAGAGCTGTGATCCCACGTCCGCAATGCCTTCCCAGGCCCCGGGTTCGAGACCCCATCAAGCCTGGAATGTTCGGCTACGGGCGCGTGCCCTTTGCACTGCCACTGCATCGGAACCGCAGGCATCCCCGGAGGCCGCCCAGATCTGAGCTGGCACAGAGCCTTCCTGGAGGGGAAGAGCCCCTTCCGTCCCCGACTCCGAGAGCAGAGCCAGCCTCTGCAAAGAACAGCCCCCAAACTCAGCTCCCTCCGACACAACTGTCTGCCCACACCCCATTGCCCCCAGCAGAAGCCCTAAACCCTGAAGCTGCTCAGACAGAGCCGCCCCCCAGGACCAGGCCTGCCCCCTCACAGCCCCAGCCCAGAGCCCAGGCCTCTGGCACAGAGCCCCTCTCGCCCACCTCATCCTTAGGAGAAGGTGTCCCCTTCCTGGTGTCCCCTCAGCCGAGAATGCCCAGTTCCCAGGGTTGGGTCAGTCCCCAGGCAGGAGGGAGACGCCCTGACCCTCTCCCTTCTGTCCCTCGGGGCCGAGGCCAGCAGAACCAGGGGCCCTGGAGACCCGGGGGGATTCTTCACGGGTCCCGCGTGGAGTCTGCCCCCCATCACCCAGATGGCTGGCTGCCTCTGCTGAGCACCGGCCCCCACGCCAGCCCCCTCTGGAGCCTCTTTGCTCCCAGCAGCCCGGTCCCAAAATGTCCTGGGGAGAGAGAGCAGCTGAGAGCCTGCAGCCACGCGGTGAGTTCTTCCCTGCCAGACTCCAGATCGGCTTCCCCGACAGTGAGTCTGGGTCCTCAGCTTGTCCCATGTCCCATCTAGACCTGAGAGCGGAGGCCCTTGGCATCTGGCCTCCTCAGGGCAGGGCCTCGGAGCTCTTCCACAGACCTGCCCCTGCGCTGCTCCCCAGGGGCAGCCCTGACCTACACCCCTGTTTTCCTTTGTATCCCCCCCATCCTAGCCCTGCCCCCCTGAGCAGCCGGATCCCCGGGCCCTGCAGTGTGCGGCCTTTGACTCCCAGGAATTCATGGGCCAACTGTACCAGTGGGAGCCCTTCACGGAAGGTGAGGTTTCTAGCTCGCCCTGGGCAGGGTGGCTCAGGGCTGGGGGTGACGGGGAGAGGGAGACGCCGGCTTATGCCCATCCCTGAAGGATTTCTAGCCCTCCGCATCTCCATGTAGGCCCTTCTGTTTCTCCCCCAGGTCTGCCTTTTTCTTGCTCCCTGGGCTGGGTTGAAGAGACCTAGCACAGGACTGGAAAGAGGAGGAGCTTTCTGACGGGGGCTTTAGCTGTCAGATGGTCAGGCTGGGAGGAGGGGGCGCCAGAGGTGACCTTCCTCTGGATTCCTCTGGGAATGGAGTCTATCCCAGCAGATGGGGTGTGCAATGGCTCCTAGGTGCCGTCGTGTTTCCAGGTTTCCATGCCCTTGATTGTGGGCCCCTCTCAACCTGACACCAAGACAAGCCCTCATGAGTGCTGAACTCATCATCGCAGGTTCAAGGGTCTCTCCTCTCTCAGTTCAAAACCCCCTTGATAGGCCGGGCTCGGTGGCTCAGCCTGTAATCCAGCACTTTGGGAGGCCGAGGCGAGTGGATTGCCTGAGTCCATGGGCTCGAGACCCACCTGGGCAACTTGGTGAGACCTCATCTTTACAATAAATCAAAAATTAGCCAAGCATAGTAGCTCACGCCTGTAGTTCCAGCTCCTTGAAAGGCTGAGGCGGAAGGATGGCTGGAGCCCAGCAGGACGAGGCTGCGGTGGCCGGGAGCGTGCCACTGCACTCCAGTCGGGATGACAGAGTGAGACTCCAACTCAAAAAAACAAAACCCCCTCGATGGTCTCAGTGACTTCAGTTGACCTGGCCAACTTTTCTTTTTTTTTTTTTTTTTTT